GAATGTTGTCTACCGCGATGTCTAATTTTGATCAAGTTCATATCATTTAGGGGCACAGCCATGGGCCATGGCAAGATCCTCTTTGGCTTTTATGTTAATGTCCCTGAAGTCGGTTTAACTCGGCCATGCCATCTAGTTTTTTTTTTTTTTTTAAATTTGAGAAACATTAAGAAACAAGACAGAAGATGTATCATTTGTAATCAGAAAGCAGCATGCTCTCCCCAAAAAGGCAGCAAGAGATGTTTCTGTTCATAAAACATCCAGTAAACAGTGGAGCATTTATTCAGGATTTTATTAAATGTATGTTCAAATGAGCCTTATTAAATGGAAATGCTTCAAAAGGAAGTGCTGGCATTTTGCTTTTTATTATTAAACAACTTTCTCCAGAATCAAAACAAAAAGCTTACCTTTTTATATTTAAATGGCAAGGCTTATCTTGTCGATTTATTCACATAAAGTAGATGATAAAGGCACCCAGAGACACTTTAGAAAGTGCTGAGATGAGACCAGCTAACAATTAATGTGTGGAAATCACTACTTAGAAACCCTAGATGCTATTTTAACTCTTTTTTCAAGTTATTTAAAAACCACATGGGTCTGTTTTCCCTTTTTACCACTTATCTATGAACTGTGGAGATTCATCGCCTTTCAACTTGTTTGAAAGAAAAAAAGACTTTGCTTCTTGCTTCTAGAATCATCATTGACGACTTAGAGCACTCGTAAATGTATTGGCTGTATGAGAAAAAAATAACTGAAAGCTTATGTTTTCAAGGACATTATTGAATTATTTGTACCAGCTCCCTCTTTCTTGGTTAGTTCCAATCAACAATATGGCACATCAATATTCACCTAGCATTTTGTATGCACTTAGCATAATATTACATTCTTTGGAGAAAAGAAAAAAAGAATTAAGACATGGTCCGTAGCTTTGAGGGAGTTGTAATTTTATGTGCAAGACAATTCCAACAAATATAGGCGAACAATGTAAAATTACGTATGTAATGATAAAGACCTTTGAAAAATAACAAAATACTGTGTTATGTAGTTAAAAACAAATGCACGGACTGAGAGCAATGCAGAAAAGGAAGATCTCCAGACCGAGGAGCCAGGGAAGGTGTTTGGGGAGGACTTGAGGTGGTGGTGTGAGGGCTGCATTGGCCACGGGTGTAGATCAGAGTCAACATATTAGGAAGAGTGATGGTTGGATTCATTTGGTGATCTGTCTGTGGGTGTAGACCTGAAGACAGAGGCTTGCCTATCTGAATGTTCCATTTCGAAGGCAGAATAACAAACTAGAAATGACTAAAGAATTCATAGGGACAGTAAAATGTCCTTGACAAAGAGGACAGTATTAGCTGAAGGGAGAGGGAGTACACAGGGTGCTCTCTGTGTCATAGTGTCCATATCATCTTGGGCAAGTTATTTCGACTTTCTAAACCCAGTGTCCTTACCCATGATGGGACCTAATGCTGATTCCAGTCTCAGCAGCTGTGCCTAGTAAGGAACAAAGTGCCAAAGTGCGCGGCGGGAACACCGATTGCACAGGACTGTGGTGAGAATTCAGTGGGGGATACCTACAAGACAGGGCAGATGTGGGGTGGGGCAGGCTGGAAGGTGCCAGGGACGCTGCGACCGACGGCTGCTCTTAGCTTCATGTCTGTAAGGGACTGGGCTGCAAATGCTGGTGCTCCAATTGAGCTGCTCTGTGTAGGCCTCAGATGTGGCATCAGAGAAGAGGACACAACCCGGAAACTGGGAAATGTCCCCATGTTGACTGGTTGTGTTTCTATGCATTGCCTGGGTGGGAACCCTAGGGAAAGGCCTTGTGAATAGAGGTGGGGTTGTTCTTCATCCAGGGGTAAAGTATGAGAGCCCAAGGATTCGGTTTAGATATATGAGAAAACTATACTTCTGTGTAGAGCTGGAGGAAAGGAAGTTTGATAAGAGATACGTCTGGTTTAGTCAGAGCTTCAAGAACCACGTAGGAGCCGAAAAGTTTACTTTGGTTCCTGGTTTCTGAGGTTCAGTCCATGGCTGGCTGACTCCACAGCTCTGGGCCCAGGGTGAGGCAGAGCATCGTGGCACAAGGGTACGGCTGAGGGAAGCCGCTCGGGACGTGGCACCAGGAAGCCGAGAGAGCTCTGCTCACCAGGGACAAAATAGAAAGTCCAAAATCATACACAGTGACCTCCCTCCCGCAGTCCCACCCTTACGTGCATACAGTTACCACCCAGTTAGTCCATCCCGGTGCTGAAATTCACGGGTTAGGCCAAACATCTCATAATCGAATCACTTCATCTGTGAAAATTCTTGCATTGTCTCATACATAAAGTTTGGGGGGACACCTCAACTCTAAACCGTAATATATGGCCAGGACTTTAAATGGAGTCCTGTAATGTGACAAATGAAAGAAGCTAAAGATCCACTGTAGGGGTGGGGTCTCAGGAAGGCTTGAACTTGAGGACTCAAAGTGACCACATCTAACACCAACTGGAAATCCTCTGCACGCTTTGTTCCCAGAGCCAGCTCAGGAGTCTCACTGAAATGTCACAACTCAATCCTCCCTGCCACCGTGGGGGAATACAAGACGTGTCTGAGCCTACAATTGAGACCATGCCGTGCCAGGGACAATAGCAACTGCTGTTGAGCAGAACCCAGCTGAGGACAGGAAGAGGAGGCCTGCAGAACAGCCCTGCAGTGGCCACACCCAGCCCAGCACAGACGGTGGGTTTGGAGGTGGAAGAATTTCCTAGGAATCCTGAGAAATTCATGGGAGAGAAACGGAAAAGACACTGGATCTCTGCTGAGGAGGAGGGAAGAAGACCCAGGTTCTGGTGACTTTGGTATTAAAGGGAGGTGTGATCTTGTGAGCTGCTGATGTGTGTGCTATCTCGGCTAAATTCTTGCAAGGTTGAAAGGAGATCGTAAATGAAAAGCTCTTAGCATAGCATCTGGCTTTTAATCGCCTCTCAAATACAGGCCTTTTGCAGTTGATGATATTGATATTGACTATTGAATGTCATGGGCTATGGTTTTGATAGTGTTTCTCGGACGTGTGTTAAACACTTTGGCCCTCCCGTTTGGTGTTATTTGGAGGTGGTAAGACCTTTAGAATATGGGGCCTTGTGGGAGGCCCAGTCACTGGGGACATGCCCTTGAAAGTCATTCTTAGGACCCAGGTTGCTGGGTCTTTCTTTGCTCTGGTTTGACATATGTCCCTGCCACAACAAACTACCCTCTGCTGCCCTCGCCAGAGACCAAATTATTGTGGGTATCTGATTTTGGACTTTGAATCTCCAGAACTGTGAGATCAATAAACCTTTCCTCTTCATAAAGTTAATTGCCTCAGGCATTTCACTGTAGTAGTACAAAGTTGACTAATATATCAGGTTAAGGGATTATGCAAGGACATCGGACCACAAGGTTACATAAAATAGGTCCATTAAGTTTTGTAGGTAGCCAGGCTCCTGCATATACCCAATAGTACCACTGTGTGCCCAGCCAGACCAAGGCATAACTAGAAGCCATTTTCTGCTTGTCACTTTCCCATACATGATCAAGGCTACAGACACATGGAAGCATAATTATTTTAAAATGGCAAATCGCACATGGATTCAGTAGAGCTGTTGCAGAAGGTCATGCATCTGTGAGAGCAGGTGCAGGTCTCAAATGGTGAATGCACTGAGGCCATGGGAGCTCTGTGGGAGCTCGCCCATTTTCCTTTTATAAGGCCACCAGAGTCCCTCCTGGGCTGGCGGGTGGTCTGATGAACTCCATCTTAACTTAGTGTTTCTATTTTTCTACAGAGCTTCTTAGTTTCAAAGAGGGGGAGAGGTATTGGACAAAAGCACAGGCCCCAGTGTCAGGAGCAGTCCTTTGTGCTGAAAAACATCTCCCAATAAGACACACGATTGTTCTGGAGCCCTGGAGGGTGGCCTGGGCTTGGCAAGTTGCACAGGTAACACCGATGACAAAAATCTCACAAGACCGAAGGCAGAGAGGATTTAAGGAGCCAAATGAATGTCTTGCCATGGAGGCCAAGATCCAGGGGGACAATGGGCAGCAGATGAGAATCAGTACCAGGGTCTTAACATGATACCCACACCCATTAACCAGTAGACAGAAGCAGGTGCCACTGTCCCCAAACTTCAGGGAGGACTTGCTTGGATTGGTGGGGAGGAGCGGATCAGCTAGACCATAATGTATGAAACTGTTTGGTAACATTAATAACTAATGTCAATCAAGGAATACCAGGGTCCTTTTAAAGTGCTTAAATGAATTAACTTACTTGACCTCACCACAGCTGTATTTGACAATGTCATTGTCCCAGGCATACTTCAGCCTCAGGGCCTTTGCACTTGCAGTTTCCTTTGCTAGGAACAGCATTTCCAGTTACATGCATAGTGGACTCCTCACTGTATTCTGAGCTCTGCTGAAACCTCTTCAGAGAAGATGTTTCTGACGCCTACAATGCCCCGTCTCTCTCTTTACCGTGCTTCAGTGTTCTGCGTGGCTCTTTTCTCCCCGATGGTACATGTCTATTTGTATGTCATTTATTCTCCCTTTAGAATTTGTGTTGCAAATAGGTAGGGAGTTTATCTGGTTTGTTTATGGCCATATTCTCAGCCCCCCAAATCGTTCCTTTCCTGGAGAAATAGCACAATAAATAGTTGTGGAATGATATAGTCTCCATTTACAAGGGAGACACGGAATGACAGAGAGTTAAAGCCAATAGCCCCAAGTCTCAGAGTCCCACATGCAGGATCAAGCTTCGGGGCCAGGCAGTGTGGCTGCAGGTTCCCGTTCGTTCCTTGACCTCTGCTCTGTATTGCCTTATGAGGGCTTTGCGACATCATCCCCTCGGTCCCCAGAGAAACAGAGAGGCGAGAGCAGGGTGGCAGCAAAGACTGGGGACTCCCACGTGCTGCTGGGAGGCCTGGGGCTCCGCACAGAGGAAGCCCGGTTACCTCTCTCCCTCTCCTGCTGGGCCTGAGGGCGAGCTGCCGAGCTGGCCCTTCTGGAAACGCAGACACCAGCGAGGCCCCTGTAGGTAAAGAAAGGACAGCAGGGCCCCTCTTGCCAGTCTGGCACCAGCCTGTTGCCTGGGAATGTTCTGGATGAAAGGCTCAGACCCCGATCCCCCGGGGCCCCTGCAGATCACGCCTTGGGAACCCTGCTGAAGCCTGGGCTCCACCTTTGTCCCTTGTCGACTAACGAGACCCTCAGAAGTCTGGGGGCCTGTCATTTTAAGTCTGGGGATGTCCTCGTAGGAGATTTGGAGAAACTTCCAGAAGAACTATATCAGCCCATTACAGTGGAGTGAAGGAATCCTGGGCACCCCAACTCAGGTGGTCGGCTCTCTCTGAGGTGTAGGAAAGAGACGGAGATACTGTTCAGGTAATCCTTCCAGCAGGTGGGTATCCAGAGGGCTGAGAGCTAGGGCTGGGGGAAGGCAGGGGTGAGGCCGGGCAACTCCACAGATTGAGATTTGAATGATAAAGAAAGCTCACACATTTAAAAGGAGGTGGCTGAGATAAAATTGCAGTCAGGCCACAGAAGTGAAACGATCAGAGCAGGAGCATTCAGAATGCAGGAAGGCACAGAGACAGGGAGGTGCCCTGTGGGGTGCCACCATCATCCCTGGTCCCGGTGGGGAGAGAATGATTGACAAGCAGAGTTATGGAGATTGGGCTGTGAAAAAACTTAGGGACAAAGGAAAAGTAAAGAGAGTATCTCTGTTCTAAAATCCCCCAAACTCAAAGGACTTTGCAGATTCTACTCTGCAGAGGTCACTCTGTCCCTTCATTTCTTCAACAACTATCTATGCAGAGAGCGCTCTGCCAGGTGCCCAGATAATTTATGACTGAGGCTGATCCCCCAAGCCACTGTGGTCTTTCTGCTTTTAACATAACTCTTTCAAAGACAAAAACTTTCTTGTCAAATGCACACATCCACATTATCCTGTCCTATGACACATGGTTCTTCCAATATTGTAAATTTTTAAAAATGGAGAAAAAATACTTTTGATTAGCTAGAAACTTGGCCAAGAAGTCTGAAAAAAAAAAATCCCTTAATGTGAACCTGAGCTTTTTATAAAGAGGAAATAATTGTTGTCAAATGTTGCCTACAAGTCCATCTACCCTGTCTAGAGCTAGGAAGACCAAAAAGACCATGTCCCAATTCCATGCAAAAAAAGTCTTTGGGTTTTTTGGCTTGGTTTTTTTCAAGGTTTTTTTTTTTCTTCCCCTTCAATCTTTTTCTTTTCGTGTGGTTTGTCATTTTGAATTTCTTATTATAGCAACTCTTAGGAAAGGGCCATGATTCAGAACACTAACAGCTGTTGATTCTCTGTGTCTGTTTGGCATCACACTTGAAGGACCCATCTCCCAAGTAAAAGAGCTGAGTGCCCATTACTCATATAAATAGACTTACACCTGTTAACTGAGCACCTATTTACTATAGGTACTTATTATGCAGGTACTTACTATAATTAACATTTTAAGTTATAATAATATTATATATGATACTTAAAGTTTATGTTAAGTATTTATAGTTATATTTTCAATTTCAGTGGTGACAGTCATTCAAGGTTGTCTCAGGAAGTTTAACTAAAAAAGATTAAGCATTTGAATCAACTCTAGAGACATGAAAACTAACAGAGCAATTGGGAATCTAGTTGTGCATCATTTAGAAAAGCCCAAAAGTAGCCCCTGGGTATCTGGTAGACCATGAAGGACAATGAGAGGTTGATTCCACTGACATCTACCACCAACAATCATTTTTTTAGGTATAAACCAAAAGTCATACATAATTAGGCATTTAATTAAAGCATGTAAGTATTGATATTGATAACTATATGGAACCTGTTTCCCCTAGCACTTTCTACCTATATATTTCTCAAAGTACCAAATAATATTAAGAGTAGACAGAAAGAGTATGTTTATTTTTATAAATAAATTTTTTATTAAGATTCTTACATGTGTTAAAACTTCACATTTTATAACATAAAGTTTATTTTTTACTCTTCCTGCTTCCTTCCCCCATAAAATTTTTACCTTAAATTACTTTTCTCTTGAATGAAGGTCCTGGTATGTGTTAGAAATAAATCCTGTTAAAGCTATATCACAAACTAATTCACTGACATTATGGTGCTTATTATTGCCATTCACCACTAAAAGTGGATATCTAAACAGGTAAGTGGATTTCCAAAAAAATGTTAGAAGATGATATTGAAAAAATTCAGCATAAAACTCACGTATCTTCACTTCTAAACCGTGAACATTACCCACAATGCCACTGGACATCCCAACACGGACTCTCAATATTTTTTATCTTGACCTGGGACAGAGGTCATGGTTCCCCAAATCTTTTTAGTTGCCCAAGAAAATCACCATGGGGCTCATGTTTTTCTAGGATACCAACCGATCAACCCCAAACAACATATCCTTAAAGATATAGCCTTTGAGTGAACATGGTCCATCTTAGATTATTAATAAGGAAGCAAAACTATTTGACAAGCCAAGAACATGACTGTAGGAAAAAGAAGAAATACTAAGAAACACAGGGAACTTTTTTTTTTTTCATTTGCCATAATGGGAAATCCCATGGGGGTTCCTGCTGAACAAAGTCTCTGAAAATGAGTAAAAGGGAACCGGGTATGAGGTTGTGTAAGACTATGGAAATGGATAGCATTGCTTCAGGCCAGGGTCTGTCCTTTTGCATGGGTATAAAGGGCCACCTGATTCTTGCCAGGTGAAATGTCCTTCAGTAGCAAGGCTTCAGGTTGGACCAGCCCTTTTCCTTTCAGCTCTCTGATCCATGACCCAAAGGAACTCTGTGATCCATTCCACCTCCAGGGCTTCCCCAGTGGCTCTGTGAAATCCTGCTCCCCTCCGGGCTCCAATGCTCTCTGCTCCACTGCTCCGTCCTTCAGGGGAGTCTGGGCCCCTCAAAGGAGCTTCTGTCCTCATGCTGAAAATAATCATTTCTTGAAAAGAGCCCATTTCCCTTTAAAAGATCTGAGTCTCTTGTATTCCTTCCTTCCTAGTCCTCTGAGTTACGAAATCCTAGAGGAAATAATTATTTCCTGTTCCAGAAACATCAGCCTCAAGCAATTTGTCATCTCCTTTGGTTGCTGAGCTTTGGCACTCTGTTGTTTAAATCTGACATGTATTTATTCTATGCCGGGACTGTACTAAAACTGTAGTTATTATATATCTTACTACAAATCTTATTTTATGCTTATAGAACACCCTCTAATTAGGTTTTATTATCCCCATTTTACAGATGAGGAAATCTGTAGTCCAACATAAAAACATAGCTTACCTAAGGTCACAGAGCTTGGCAGCACAGGGATCCCAGATCTCAGATTCCAAAGATGACGTCGTTTCTCTCTGAGTTCTTCCACGTCCACTGGCTACAGGTGTATATGGCCTGCCCTGACCTCTATTTTTCTTTGTATTTATCTCTGACATTATGCAATTCTCTTAGGGCCATGTGACCTTGAGCAAGGTACTGCATCCCCTTGTCCTTCACCTGTAAAACAGGAATTGTGGCAGTCAGGATCAAGGGAGATTGTGTATGGGGAACAGTAACACTGGCCACCGATAAGCATTGTATGTGCTCATCACTATTATTACTACCAGTGGTAACAGTAGTATATTTATTTGCGGGGGTGGGGGGTCTGTTATCTGTCTCCTACCCTAGAATGTAAGATCCTTGAGGTCAGAGACTGATTCGTTTACAACTATATCCTCATTTCAAGAACAGTGTCTAGCACATAGCAAGAACTTAGTACTCGTTTGATAAATGAATGAACGATTTTGTGACGTTCCCTTCCTCTTTCTGTGACTTTAGGGACTTGGGCCGGCAGAATCTCTGATGTCAACGCTGAACACACCTGGTCCAGCACTCTTATGTACCCAGAAACAAATGGATGTCACTTGTGTCCTTTGCTGGGCTGCATGCTGCTGGCTGGCCCTCTTTCTTGACATCATTCCACAGGTCTCATGGCTGGCCAGGCTGTTCTCCATGCCCTTCAAGTCATCAGTGTCGTGAAAATGAGACTTCTTTATTTCTTTGCCATAAGACCTCCCCCTGGTAGGTGATACCTCGATGCTCTTTCAAACCAACCTATTACCTTTTGTACTATTTTTCTTTTTTTAAATTATGTAATTTTTTTTACATACATGGCAATACTGGAATGCATTACACTCATTATTACCCATTTACAGCACAATTATGTACTATTTCTCTAAAATTCTGTGACCACTGATCGGAGTGACTGGGTGGTCACTTCAGAATTTGGTATGTGTGTGATGAAACTGGTCTATTCCCAATGTTACGATTTACCTCCTATCTGTACCAGATACCTCCATTTAAAACAGTATCTTTAGTCATGGAAGCTGAGCGTCAGAACTGACTTCTTAAAGAAATGCTTGGTGATGAGACAGCCCTTAGGAGTACTTGCTAATAGAGAGCACATGTTTGGTTTTTTTCCAGAACCAGGGTTTCTGCTCCCTGGTTTCTCCAAGAAGCTGCTTCTCCTGACTCTATTAGCCACAGGCTCCAACCAACACTAATGGGCTAAGTAATTCGACTTCCCTCCGATGAAGAGTAGCAGAGTTTCCTGAGAGAAACCTTGAGTGAGAGTCGAAAAGAAGAGAGAGCAAAGAACAGAAAAAAAAAAAAAAAGGCAAGAAATCAGTGTAGTGTGTAGCAGCAGAAGAGAAATGGCGGGTCAAAGGGAAACTGGAGAGCCAGAGAGAGCTACCCAAGTGAACAGGAAAGGGGCAGGAAGAATCAGAGAGCAGGAGACTCAGCACAGCAAGAAAGAGGTAAAATGCAAAGAACTCTAGCAGACCAGTGAGGCAGCCCTGCAGGGAGGACAGCAAGATAAAGACATGGAGTATCCACTGTCTGTTACCTCGGTAAGGAAGGATTGATGGTCTAAATGGAAGGCATCTTGTCCACTTATAATTTTTGTGGTTGAAGATATGTATGATAGCCCAGGTGTTTCCATTAATTTCATTAAATTATTGTCACAATTCTATTTATTACAAGCAACCTAGTTGTTCTCAATATACCATGTGCAAGACACCAACTTACCAAGGGAGTGGAAATAATACAGATTCACTTTTTTAAAAAAAAAAATATTTGTTCTAATTAATTATACATGACAGCAGAATGCATTTCGATTCATAGTACACAAATGGAGCACCGTTTTTCATTTCTCTAGTGGTACACAAAGTAGAATCACACCATTCGTGTCTTCATACATGCACCTAGAGTAATGATGTCCATCTCACTCCACCATTTTTCTGACCCGGTGCCCTCTCCCTTCCCCTCTATCCTCTTTGCCCCATCTAAAGTTTTTCCATTTCTCCCATGTCCCTCCCCACCCCATTATGTATCCACTTATCAGAGAAAACATTTGGCCTCTGGTTTTGGGGGATTGATTTACTTCACTTAGCATGACATTCTCCAACTCTATCCATTTACCTGCAAGTGCCATGATTTTATTCTCTTTTAATGCTGAGTAATATTCCATTGTGTATATATACCACAGTTTCTTTATCTATTCATCTATTGAAGGGCATCTAGGTTGGCTCCACAATTTAGCTCTTGTGAATTGTATTGCTATAAACATTGATGGGGCTGCATCACTGCAGTATGTACAGCTTCACTTTTAATCCATGAATTAATGTTACGTTGTTGGAATCTTCTTGGTAGTGCCTGGATGTACCAAGCATTGTTGTTGACACCTTTAGTAAAGGTAATTAGATTTACAGAAAGGGAAGCAATTATTATCCAGAAAATAAGAAATGATTTAAATGCTTTACCATGATTATCTGTAAAAAAAAGACATGGCCCAGGTAGGGTTTGGGGAAAAGCCAGTTCACATATATACGTGCATCTCTCTCTGTTCCCAGTGCTCTTCCTGAGTCTGTGTATCTCTCTCTGTTCCTAGTGCTCTTCCTGAGTCTGAATCACCACCATCTTTCCCTGGAACGGTTACATTAGACCCTTAGCCCTTTCTCCACACCCACCTTTTACATTTCCATTTATTCATGATATACCCAAGGTGAACTTGTAAAGGTATTGCCCCTCAGCCTCTACTTAACTTTTCAATGGTTTCAACCTACGTTCCTGTAAGGATATGTACAACCTTATCCCTGCGGATCTCCTCTTTATGTTCAAATATGCAAATCTTCATTCTCCTCAGATATGCCAAACTCTCTCCCACCCCAGGGCCTTCATGTTTGTTCTTCCCTAAGACCAGAACACTCTTCCTTACTCTTTATCTAATCAAACAGTACTAATGTTTTCTGTCGTGGCATAAGTATTTGCCCCAGAGATGCTTTTCGGACCTCCCAGCCCACCCACGTCACTCTGGTTACATGGGCTCCTTGTATATTTTACTTCAATGTGTTTATCAGTTCACATCATTATACATTAATACTCTTTTGTGAGCTTCTGTGACCCCAAGTCTAAACTCTGTGAAAATAGAAGCCACTTCTACCTTGCTCATCTCCCTTCCTCTAGAACCTGCCACGGGTCCTGTCTATCACATGACAAGCACCCAACCTATTGCCTGAATGAGCAAATGAGAGTCTGATTTCCAACATCTTAGGCTTGTTTGCAATCCCACGGAGTCCGCCGCAGTAGAGCATATACAACGCTTCCAACACATTTATTTGCAGAGAAGAGAGAGAATCCACCCCTACCCCTAGGGTATCATCACTTGAGCTCAGCATGGAAGCTCTCCTGAGATGGGGATGGTATGCCGATGATCTTCCATGTGAAGAAGAGTACCTGCCTTTGTCCCCCATGAAAGCAACACAATGCTTGGGGTTCAAAAGCTTTTCATCTAGCTGCTGTAAGCTGAGAATTTTCCATTAAGAAGGAATCAAACTTATGGGAGAATATAGCTGGGACCAAAGAGAAGTATTATTAATGATATATAAAACAAAGGAGGCAATTAGAATTTTTGGTTTTCTATTTATTTGACACAACTTTCTTTACAGCAAGTCTCATTATTTATTTTCTTCTGATATGGTGAAGGGTACAATTGCTGTCTTCCCTAGACTAGAGACTTGTCCTTCATACATTTTTTTTTCTGAAACAGTATAGTCCAAAATCTATACTCATAATACAATGACTGGCTTCTAATATCCTAGCTTGATTGTCTCAAGGACTTTTGACCAAATGTTGCCAGGTAAATTGAAGTGGTCTCTGCTAGGGATCAATTCAATAGAAGGCAGCTTCCTGTCGTCTCCTAAGTATTGTTTTAAAGATACTGACAAGCTGTTACACACATTTGCTCCTTATTGTGTTGATAGGGTAGGGAAGATAATGCACTGTCAATTCTAACATAAGCAAATGATCAGATATGGTTCTTATAATTTTATGATTCTCTTCTGGCAGCTTTCAGGATACCCAATGATGGAGTCACACACTTAAAAGGGTCTCTCACCACAAATGGGTACCTCATGTACAATTATACCTCCAATGGCTAGATCACCCCTTGTCAAGGTCCTGTTTAATATTTAAACATGCTTTACTGTCATTTTTATCTGTTTTCTCAGTGGCCATCTGCAAAACCATTAAGAATAAAAATGGAACTTGGGGGGCAAGAAAAACATACTGAGAATCATTGAGTTGGACAGACCTAGTGAGAAGGTTGTGTCTATTCAAACACCTGTCTCCCACCCTCCCACCAGCTGCACAGTCCCTTCACCTCAGACTCACTGTGCACCCTTACAATTAGCCTGTCAAGAGAGTGCAGCTCAGGTGGATCTGATGTGGGTTTCATACGGCCCGTTGAGTTGATCTTTGCTTTCCTTCGAGGATCTACTTCTAGGCTTGCTGTATCTGTATGTCTGTGGGCCTCTGTTTAATTTGGTGATAAGTCCATCCAAGGCAAGAGCCAGTTTATATGTTTTGTAAAGAGACTAGATCAAATGAGCAGATGATAGGCCTTCCAAAGCTGTAAGTGAAAACAGCAGAATGATGCATAATTCACGGGTGACAGGGAAGTTAAAAGAGAAGGTTAATGTTTTAATGCATTATTAAGAATCCTTTCACTCATAGGCTCAATCTGAATCTAGTAATTGTCTCTGTGTACCTCTAAAGGCAAGAGAAAAAAAACTTCATTTGCAATCCAGACCTATTATATGGCGTTGGAGGTACTAATGCTAGTGTTTGTCACCATATTGTCATCTGTTCAAGGAGAGTACTTTAAAGACAAAGAAACTGGGGCCAAAAGAGTTTTGAGTCAGATGCCCAAGTCTATCTGATTCTGAAGTTGGCGCTCTTTAATCTAAGTGATCCTGACCTTTGCCTGGTGATAGAACGTCAGTGTTGGTGATCCAATCCTCTAAGGTTTCCCCCACTATATCTCCTATACAAGACAAAAGTGACTAGAAAAAAAATAGAGATCACAAGAAATTGTCCAACCAAATAAGAAGATTTGATGTCATTCGTGCTCAAAAAAGTGATTAGATAAACACAATGGTTCCATTTCCACTCATTTCTTTGTTTATCCAAAGCACAGTCTTCAATTGCCAACTATGTGCTAGGAAACAGGGTAGACATTTGGGATAATGATAAAAAAGATGGAAGCACTTTCTGTTCTCACAAAGTTCTCTGCCTATAGAGAACAGCACAATGCAGATCCGTCTCTGGGGATTCTAAATTGGTATATGGCTCAACATTGTCTGCCTTGAGATGTGAGAACCAAGTCCAAATAGATGCTATTTCTTTGAAATAATTTGTGAAATTTAGAAAGGCAGCAGGACCGGCATTATTTTATATTTATCCAGGCTCAAAATATTTATTTTATGAGATATGCTTCAATCACATAAGTGTGAGACACGTTGCTAAAGGAGAAATTTGTGGTTACTTTTCTGAATTTGCCAAGATGTTAAAACCACCAAGCACATTTATATTTTTCAGGTATGTTGACGAAAATCACAATCAGCCCTGGACCATGTACAACATCTCATTACTGACCCAAGAATTCTTTCTTAAGGCACACAGCAGAATGCACTGGTCCTAAGTACTTCCCTAAGCAAAATTTACTTGTCACCCAGTGGTTCCTGGCCAAGAGTGGGGAGTGGTATTTACTCACCCTTCATCCTTACACTTAGTTAGGTCAATCAACAAATTCATAAGAGACACATTGGGCATGTCACATCAATCTCTTTGCTGCTTAGATGAAATGTGCTTTGTGTTGTTCTCAAATTAGACACTCGTTATGCATAATTAGCCCCTTACATAGAACAGCTGCTGGCTTTTACCAACGCTTTCAGCCCAGCACTAAGTGCACCCATTGTTGGCGTTTCCTCTGAGCAAACTTAATCAAATCTGTGACTTGTACATCGTTTGATGAGATGATCAAATAGGGAAAAGAATTACTTAACCGGATGCAGTGGTGCGCGACTGGAGGCCCTCCCACAGGGAGGCTGAGGTGGGAGGATCACTTGAACCCTCAGAGTTCAAGTCTAGTCTGGGGTTCCAGGTGAGATAAACTGTCTAAAACAAACGACAACAAGAAAAACATAGAAAAGCTTGTGTTCACCTTCACCTACAAAAGTTAACTTGAACTGACTGTATCAGGAGACATATGGGGGAATTATTTTAATTTTTAACAATTAAAATATTTAGTTTAATATGACTTTTGATGGAGGAGAAA